TCCAAATCAACTCAGAAACATGCTCCATTAATTCACTGGGACATAATCAAGAGTCCAGACTTTTGAATGCTGACAAGATTTCTGAAACCAGCAAAGAGGATCAAAGCAAGATTTAATATTTGCTGCCAGCATTAAGTGGCAGGTATAATATCTCTTTGAGAACTAGGCCCATCATTCTCTTTGATTCTTCGATTACACACATTTTTTTTAAGGACAAGATGAGAACATTAAGGAATAGAGGTAATCCTCGACTTGTAAGTTTGTTTAGCGACCGTTCAAAGTTACAACAGCACTGCAAAAAGTGATTTATGACCATTTTTTTCACACTTAAGACCACTGTAAGCATATAAGAATTTTTTTTAATGTGCAAGGGAGAACTAGCTGTCATCACGGGGTTCAGAAACTTACCCTCCAAATTTTGCATACAGCGATACTGTATATAAACCTGGTTGACTGGAGTCCCTCACCATAAACCCTCCTTCTTTATCCTAAAATCCGAGAAAAAGAAATGAAACCTTTATTATAAACCAACCAGAATTCTTTGTTGACCGATTTGCAAGATTCACAATTTACTTATGAAACTTATGTGGCGTTTCGACTGCAAGGGACTGCAACCAGAATAAATGCTAACCCTGCATTAACAAGGGGCTTCCCCCACACCCATCCACCCCCCAAAAAAAAATTGCTACCAGGAACAAAGCACCTCTTTTAGAAGCATTAGAACAGGGCTTTTCAACCTTTTCACCCATTGTACCACTTTTAGGATAGGGCAACATCCGAGTGCCACCAGTCGCCTAGCAAGGTGTCAAAAACTTGATGACCCCCCAAAAAAGAGAAAAAAGTAATAAAGTACAGGTAGTCCTCAACTTACAACAGTTCGCTTAGTGACTGTTCGAAGTTACAATGGCACTGAAAAAGTGCCCCCCAAGCCACAACGGAGCAAGACACCTGCCTGCCCACCCAGCGGCGCTCTTCCTCCTGTCCGAGGTTTTCATTGTTGAGAGCATTTCTGTTGAGGATTGGCAGTGGAGGTGGGGTGGGGGGGGTGTTTGGTTTTTATTCCCCCCGTCTGCTGGTTGGTTGCAGCAGGTTTTGGTCACTTCACATGACCCTGGGACACTGTGACCGTCATAAATATGAATCAGTTGCCACGCATCTGAATGTAAATCACAAGACCCTGGAGATGCTGCAACATTCCAGCTGATTGGTGCTTCTTCAGGGCTCAGCAGAAGCGCCAGGATCAGCGCTGAGCTCCAGCTGGAGCCTGGCGCTGAGCCTGGCGCTTCCACTGAGCCCTGACAGCCCTGAAGAAGCGCCAATGAGCTGGAAAGCGGCACTGATCCTGGTGCTTCTGCTGAGCCCTGACAGCCCTGCAGCTCCAGCGGTCTCTCGCTCAGGCTTGTGCGGTGCTGCCACCGGTTCAGCTCATTCCCCTCCCCCGCTACTTTTCTAGGATGGTCGCGTACCACCTGCCAGGTGCCCATGTACCACAGGTGGTACCCGTACCACTGGTTGAAAAGTCCTGATCTATAGTATACACCTATGTGTCATTCTTTTTTTTTCTTTTTGTTTTATCAAAATAATGTTAAGCCCACCTCATTTCTGAGAAGTTGCTCTGCCTGACTTCTGTTCAGATTTCTGCAGTACCATCTAAAGAGGAAACCAGTAAAAGTTTAGCATATTATATATAAATGCTACCATTTTGTAGGGCTTTAAGGCAAAATACATTTTTCAAAGCACCTGTCTGCACCTCCAAATGCATTTCTTCCCTTGAGGCAGCTGCAGAAGATAATCACAGTTTCAGGAAAAAAGTAGCTGCTTTAAAGAGTTCTGGGCAGATGCAACATTTATTTTCTGCATACTTCAAAGCACTTTTTTTTTTTTTTTGCATTCAAGCTGGAACACTGTGTGGATCTGACGCCTATGTTCCAAAATATATCCCCATGATTTCCATCCAACTCTTTTTCTGAAGCCAGCCCAAGTGGTAACCAGAATCATATCTCATGGAAACAAATTCCAAATTATGCATTTTCATTTTTTTCAAAATCCTTTTGTTTCTTGTGATCTTTCTAGGATTCAATTTGACCTCTGGTTCTATTATTTTTTGGGGAAGGGGAAAATAGCTTCTCCCTGTCCAATTTATCTACACCGTGTGTGTGTGTGTGTGTGTGTATGTGTATGCGTATGTATATGTGTATGTGTTAAATTTGGATTTTTGCCAACAAAGAGTTAAAGGGAGACTAGTATAGCTATTTCGAGCTATTTAGCTCTCGTCAGCTAGCCATACCCTTCTGAGATTCGAACATGGGCCACTTGCATGTTAGGCAACTGTGTTAACCTCTAGGCCACAGGTTGGCAAAAAAATTTGGCAAAAATCCAAATTTAACATAGAAATGGTTTGTCGCAGTAGCGACTACTGCCTGGGATAGCTCCTAGATTGGAGCTGAAAAAGGCAAAAACTTGCCTGAAAAAGGTAGACTGGGTGTTCCATTTGATACTTAATATATGTGTATGTATATATACACCTCCATCATGTCCTCTGTCTTTTGCTTCAATTTGCTTCAATATTGAATAAAAACAGTCAATAAAACCATTTATGATAAAGCCAAACTGTAAGAGTACATGAAATAAAATAAAATTCATTTTAATCAGGCAGTTCAAAAGGCAACTTACTGCTGAATCTGAATGGGACAGTTTATACTTGGCTATGACCAATTCCTTGAGACAATTTGGCTACTATGTTAAGAACGACGGGTTCTACTGTCTGCTGAAGCATAATATGGAGCCCCAGGAATGACTCTTTAAGCATCTTTCTGGAGATGCAGAGTCTCAAAGCTATTTCCCATGAAATGGTCAAAATACATAAAATCACATTTGCTATATATAAAAATTGACTTACTCATACTGCTCCAGACTGTTGGACTTCTTTCCTGTTACGTAATTGCTTGGAATATATCCTTGGTTTCTAGAATGATAAAAAGGAACAATACAGGTAGTCATTGACTTACAACAGTTCGAAATTCACAGTTATGACCATTGCACCTTCACCATGGTCACATGAGGGGAAAACATGACCAAAATTCAGACGCTTGGCAACTGACTCATATTTATGACGGTTGTAGTGTCCCGGGGTCATGTGATCTCTCTCTCTCTCTCTCTCTCTCTCTCTCTCTCTCTCGTCTCTCATTCTCTCCTGAACCACCCCCAAAATAAGATTTCAGTATTATCAGCCCCAAGAACAAGAACTTGCATTTTTTTTCTGAAATTCTGTAATATACTACCTGACCTCTTGTCTCACATAAGACATTTTTTCTTTTTCTTTTTTTTACTTAATTTGGGGAATCTATAGTTACTATGTAATGCTGTTTGCAGACATCCCAGCATCCATGGAACATTCTGGATACTGGCAGCTTGCCGACATCCCAGCACCCATGGAACATTCTGGATACCGGCAGCTTGCAGACATCCCAGCACCCATGGAACATTCTGGATACCGACAGCTTGCAGACATCCCAGCACCCATGGAACATTCTGGATACTGGCAGCAGAGCAGAGATCTCAACTTGATCCAACCCCAATTAGCCAGAACACTACAGGCAGTCCTCGACTTACGACCACAATTGAGCCCAAATTTTCTGTTAAGTGAAATTTTCATTGACTTTTGCCCCGTTTTACGACCTTTCTTGCTACAGGTGTTGTGAATCCCTGCAGCTGTGAAGGTAGTAACAGGTTTGTTAAGTGAATCTGCCTTCCCCATTGACTTTGCTCATCAGAAGGTCATAAAAGATGATCACATGACTCCCGGGACACTGCAACGGTCATAAAATATGAGTCGATTGCCAAGCGCCTGAATTTTGAGCACCTGACCATGGGGGATGCTGAAATGGCTGAGAGTGCGAAAAATGGTCATGCGTCCCTTTTTTCAGTACCACTGTAACTTCAGTCATTAAATGAACTGTTGTAAGTCGAGACCAGTTGCAGTTAGTTCTTATTATTCAAATTGATTTTACATGCTCTTGAAATAAATAAGCTGTCTGTGAATATTATCCACAATTCAATCTATAGGTGTGCCTATAAGCCACCCTTTCAGTGGCTAATCTTAAAGCCTGAAGATGCACAGTTCAAACCAGTCTAGCAAAAGCAGCCTCGCCCACTTTTGTCCTACTTATTTTAAAATACAACAATTTACCCACCTCTGTCAAAAACCCATTTCTCTTTTAATCTTTCTAAAGCACACTACAGAGGTATGAAAACCATAATAAAATATCAGCAAAGACGATCGCAATGCGTTAGGGGTAGGCAACCTTGGCTCTTTTATGACTCGTGGACTTCAACTCCCAGAATTCCTGAGCCAGCATGGCTCAGCTTGGAAACCTCTCCCTTTCCCCTCAGTATGGCTGGCTCAGGAATTCTGGGAGTTGAAGTCCACGAGTCATAAAAGAGCCAAGGTTGCCCACCCCTGGTTTAGGCCTGTTGTAGGTGCCAGTATCCAGAATGTTCCATGAGTGCTGGGATGTCTGCAAGCTGCCAGTATCCAGAATGTTCCATGGGTGCTGGGATGTCTGCAAGCTGCCGGTATCCAGAATGTTCCATGGGTGCTGGGATATCGGCAAGCTGCCGGTATCCAGAATGTTCCATGGGTGTTGGGATGTCTGCAACTATTTCTGCCTATGCTTAAAATTAAACCAGATAATTGCATTCCTTACCCATATTTATCTTTTGCTTTCCACCAGTGGATGTCATTTTTTTCGATTATGATATATTCTTGACCCCTTTCTAATCTCAAATCATGAAGCTCCGTGGGCTCAAAATCATACATGGCAATTGCCACTTCTTCTTCTTCTTCTTCTTCCTCATCCTCTTCTTGAGGAATGGGGGGTGGGGGCCTTCTCTGAAACTTAAAAAGTTATTATCTGTCATTGACTGAAATATTCCAATAATTCTAATTACTAAGATAATTATTTGGGATGCTTCTATTTTCCAGCTCAGTGAAGCAGAATAAAATACTTGACACAAAATTATACTCTAGGAGGGCAATTAAAATGCACGCAAGCAACATAGACAAGTACATCTAAATTTGTCATTCTATTTGTTTGTTGAATGGACCATGAGCAAATTTAACAATCCGGACACAGATATATTTAAATAAAAAATTAAAAATGAGCTTGGGTTTATGATGAAGGAAACTGCTAAAAGTATAAAAACTAAGGCTGCAAATTAATCCTGGATCTAGAATCCTCCATTTTACTACCAAATACAAAGTTCTGAAAATATACAGGTGTTACTTGAACAGAAAACAAAAAGAAAAGCACACTAGCTTTAATTATTATTATCTCTCCAACACTAAGAAGGTTATTTATTTATTCATCCTTCCACGATGCCAACATGCCCCAAACATGTATGAAAAACAATCAAATCTCCTTTTCTCTAAAGAATCCCTGGGACAAAAATAATCCAAATATATTGCCTGGAATTTAGTAGCTCATATTCTCGGAAAGGCAGGCTTGAAAACTTCAGTCAGATTTGTTATTTATCTATTATATAGAGATATATAACATTATAAATAGATAGATAGATATAGACAGCTGTGGTGGCGCAGTGGTTAGAATGCAGTATTGCAGGCTAATTCTGCTGACTGCCAACCGCCAGCAGTTCGATCCTGACCGGCTCAAGGTTAACTCAGTCTTCCATCCTTCCGAGGTTGGTAAAATGAGGACCCAGATTGTTGGAGGCAAGAGGCTGACCCTGTAAACCGCTTAGAGAGGGCTGCAAAACACTTGAAGTGGTATATAAGTCTAAGTGCTATTGCTATTACATACATATGCACACATGTTATTTGTATCAGCAATTTAAAAGTCACATGGCAAAAAGAAAAAAACCCTAAATTTCTTTGCAAGCAGTTTGGTAGTCTTTATCCTGTAAGAATGGAATACAAATTTCATTCATTTTGGGGGAAATGGGGAGGGCGGACTGATATCCTCATTAGAGACAATGAGACCATACCAATATTGCATGTTATGGGTTGAAGAAGCTGATTATTAATCTTGCATTTAGTTCAGTCTATCCCTGCGTGAAACTTACTGCTCTATATTATATGCCTGTGAGTAATGGTGACTAGTACAGGTATCATAGTTAGAGGTTTGTCCATCTCAGGGTGCTCAATTATTAGGGTGTAACTACATGTTACTGCTAGTTCCTAAACTTGTTTTTCTGGAGCTGGCATGAATGAATGAGAAAAAGCATGCAAGAAGGTGGAATGTGGGACTCTACAAACACACATGCAAATTTACTCTGTGAAGTTTAATTCCCAGTCAGACAGCCTGGAGGAGAATGGTGGAGAACTCATTAGGGAGTAGAAACTACAGGGAGACAGTAATGAGGAGAAGAAAAAACTTTTAATATTTTCTCTGCTGAAGTGACTCCAAATTAAGTAGTTTGATGCAGCAAATAAACATCACAGGACTATGTATTTAATTCAGGTTTTTGAAAAATGGTGACTGGATGTCAAGAAAATGAACATATCAATGAAACAAGTCTGTTAGCGTCATTTTTGTTCTTTGGCACACATAAATTGGCTGAAACAAGTAGCTGTTCCTTAAAATTCCCAGGTTTATGAAGAGAAAAGTTAAATATGAGCCTCTCTCTTTCATATCTATTTATCTGTCTATCTATATATCTATCCATCCATCCAATTTCTGCCTGCCATAGTCAACAAGACTTTCTGCAGTTCACACCATGCAATAAAATATCCACAGTAATTACCTAAAAGCAGTCAATCAAAACAAGAAATAACAATCTTTATCAATCAAGTAACCTCTCAATCTCAATCAAGTAAGGTCTCAATCATCTCTGAAAACAATTCAGTTTTTAGCAGTTTATGGAAGATGAATGGTGAACTTGTGAGTTGGCCCCATTATGATTAACATCCTTTTGTCTGTAATTTCTTTGTTTTGTTCTGTTTTTATAGGTTTAAAATGTTTTTATAATAATTACGATAAGTGATTTTGTGTATTTATCTACCGTTTTAGCTTTATTCTATACCAGCCAGAGTCACTTTCAGTAGGATGGGCTAAAATAATAAAATGAAATGAAATGAATAGAATAAAATAAAATAAAATAATAAAATAAAATAAAATAAAATAAAATAAAATAAAATAAAATAAAATAAAATAAAATAAAATAAAATAAAATAAAATAAAATAAAATAAATAAAANTCCAAATCAACTCAGAAACATGCTCCATTAATTCACTGGGACATAATCAAGAGTCCAGACTTTTGAATGCTGACAAGATTTCTGAAACCAGCAAAGAGGATCAAAGCAAGATTTAATATTTGCTGCCAGCATTAAGTGGCAGGTATAATATCTCTTTGAGAACTAGGCCCATCATTCTCTTTGATTCTTCGATTACACATATATTTTTTAAGGACAAGATGAGAACATTAAGGAATAGAGGTAATCCTCGACTTATAAGAGTTTGTTTAGCGACCGTTCAAAGTTACAACAGCACTGCAAAAAGTGATTTATGACCATTTTTTTTCACACTTAAGACCACTGTAAGCATACAAGAATTTTTTTTTAATGTGCAAGGGAGAACTAGCTGTCATCACGGGGTTCAGAAACTTACCCTCCAAATTTTGCATACAGCGATACTGTATATAAACCTGGTTGACTGGAGTCCCTCACCATAAACCCTCCTTCTTTATCCTAAAATCCAAGAAAAAGAAATGAAACCTTTACTATAAACCAACCAGAATTCTTTGTTGACCGATTTGCAAGATTCACAATTTACTTATGAAACTTATGTGGCGTTTCGACTGCAAGGGACTGCAACCAGAATAAATGCTAACCCTGCATTAACAAGGGGCTTCCCCCACACCCATCCACCCCCCCAAAAAAAATTGCTACCAGGAACAAAGCACCTCTCTTAGAAGCATTAGAACAGGGCTTTTCAACCTTTTCACCCATTGTACCACTTTTAGGATAGGGCAACATCCGAGTGCCACCAGTCGCCTAGCAAGGTGTCAAAAACTTGATGACCCCCGCAAAAAGAGAAAAAAGTAATAAAGTACAGGTAGTCCTCAACTTACAACAGTTCGCTTAGTGACTGTTCGAAGTTACAATGGCACTGAAAAAGTGCCCCCCAAGCCACAACGGAGCAAGACACCTGCCTGCCCACCCGGCAACGCTCTTCCTCCTGTCCGGGGTTTTCATTGTGAGCATTTCTGTTGAAGATTGGCAGCGGGGGTGACGTGGGGTGTATGTGGTTTTTATTCCCCCGTCTACTGGATGGTTGCAGCAGGTTTTGGTCACTTCACATGACCCTGGGACACTGTGACCATCATAAATATGAATCAGTTGCCAGGCATCTGAATGTAAATCACAAGACCCTGGAGAGGCTGCAACATTCCAGCTGATCGGTGCTTCTTCTGGGCTCAGCAGAAGCACCAGGATCAGCGCCGAGCTCCAGCTGGAGCCTGGCGCTGATCCTGGTGCTTCCACTGAGCCCTGACAGCCCCGAAGAAGCGCCAATCAGCTGGAAAGCGGCACTGATCCTGGCGTTTCCGCTGAGCGCTGACAGCCCTGCAGCTCCAGCGGTCTCTCGCTCAGGCTTGTGCGCTGCTGCCACCAGTTCAGCTCATTCCCCTCTCCTGCTACCACTTTTCTAGGATGGTCGCGTACCACCTGCCAGGTGCCAATGTACCACAGGTGGTACCCGTACAACTGATTGAAAAGCCCTGACCTATAGTATACACCTATGTGTCATTCTTTTTTTTTTCTTTTTGTTTTATCAAAATAATGTTAAGCCCACCTCATTTCTGAGAAGTTGCTCTGCCTGACTTCTGTTCAGATTTCTGCAGTACCATCTAAAGAGGAAACCAGTAAAAGTTTAGCATATTATATATAAATGCTACCATTTTGTAGGGCTTTAAGGCAAAATACATTTTTCAAAGCACCTGTCTGCACCTCCAAATGCATTTCTTCCCTTGAGGCAGCTGCAGAAGATAATCACAGTTTCAGGAAAAAAGTAGCTGCTTTAAAGAGTTCTGGGCGGATGCAACATTTATTTTCTGCATACTTCAAAGCACTTTTTTTTTTGCATTCAAGCTGGAACACTGTGTGGATCTGACGCCTATGTTCCAAAATATATCCCCATGATTTCCATCCAACTCTTTTTTTGAAGCCAGCCCAAGTGGTAACCAGAATCATATCTCATGGAAACAAATTCCAAATTATGCATTTTCATTTTTTTCAAAATCCTTTTGTTTCTTGTGATCTTTCTAGGATTCAATTTGACCTCTAGTTCTATTATTTTTTGGGGAAGGGGAAAATAGCTTCTCCCTGTCCAATTTATCTACACCGTGTGTGTGTGTGTGTGTATGTGTATGCGTATGTATATGTGTATGTGTTAAATTTGGATTTTTGCCAACAAAGAGTTAAAGGGAGACTAGTATAGCTATTTCGAGCTATTTAGCTCTCATCAGCTAGCCATACCCTTCTGAGATTCGAACATGGGCCACTTGCATGTTAGGCAACTGTGTTAACCTCTAGGCCACAGGTTGGCAAAAAGATTTGGCAAAAATCCAAATTTAACATAGAAATGGTTTCTCGCAGTAGCGACTACTGCCTGGGATAGCTCCTAGATTGGAGCTGAAAAAGGCAAAAACTTGCCTGAAAAAGGTAGACCGGGTGTTCCATTAGACACTTAATATATGTGTATGTATATATACACCTCCATCATGTCCTCTGTCTTTTGCTTCAATTTGCTTCAATATTTAATAAAAACAGTCAATAAAACCATTTATGATAAAGCCAAACTGTAAGAGTACATGAAATAAAATAAAATTCATTTTAATCAGGCAGTTCAAAAGGCAACTTACTGCTGAATCTGAATGGGACAGTTTATACTTGGCTATGACCAATTCCTTGAGACAATTTGGCTGCTATGTTAAGAACGACGGGTTCTACTGTCTGCTGAAGCATAATATGGAGCCCCAGGAATGACTCTTTAAGCATCTTTCTGGAGATGCAGAGTCTCAAAGCTATTTCCCATGAAATGGTCAAAATACATAAAATCACATTTGCTATATATAAAAATTGACTTACTCATACTGCTCCAGACTGTTGGACTTCTTTCCTGTTACGTAATTGCTTGGAATATATCCTTGGTTTCTAGAATGATAAAAAGGAACAATACAGGTGACTTACAACAGTTCGAAATTCACAGTTATGACCATTGAACCTTCACCATGGTCACATGAGGGGAAAACATGACCAAAATTCAGACGCTTGGCAACTGACTCATATTTATGATGGTTGTAGTGTCCCGGGGTCATGTGATATCTCTCTCTCTCTCTCTCTCTCTCTCTCTCTCTCTCTCTCTCTCTCTCTCTCTCTCTCTCTCTCTCTCTCTGTCTCTCATTCTCTCCTGAACCACCCCCAAAATAAGATTTCAGTATTATCAGCCCCAAGAACAAGAACTTGCATTTTTTTTCTGAAATTCTGTAATATACTACCTGACCTCTTGTCTCACATAAGACATTTTTTCTTTTTCTTTTTTTTACTTAATTTGGGGAATCTATAGTTACTATGTAATGCTGTTTGCAGACATCCCAGCATCCATGGAACATTCTGGATACTGGCAGCTTGCCGACATCCCAGCACCCATGGAACATTCTGGATACCGGCAGCTTGCAGACATCCCAGCACCCATGGAACATTCTGGATACCGGCAGCTTGCAGACATCCCAGCACCCATGGAACATTCTGGATACTGGCAGCAGAGCAGAGATCTCAACTTGATCCAACCCCAATTAGCCAGAACACTACAGGCAGTCCTCGACTTACGACCACAATTGAGCCCAAATTTTCTGTTAAGTGAAATTTTCATTGACTTTTGCCCCGTTTTACGACCTTTCTTGCTACAGGTGTTGTGAATCCCTGCAGCTGTGAAGGTAGTAACAGGTTTGTTAAGTGAATCTGCCTTCCCCATTGACTTTGCTCGTCAGAAGGTCATAAAAGATGATCACATGACTCCCGGGACACTGCAACGGTCATAAAATATGAGTCGATTGCCAAGCGCCTGAATTTTGAGCACCTGACCGTGGGGATGCTGAAATGGCTGTGAGTGCGAAAAATGGTCATGCGTCCCTTTTTTCAGTACCACTGTAACTTCAAACAGTCACTAAATGAACTGCTGTAAGTCGAGACCAGTTGCAATTAGTTCTTATTATTAAAATTGATTTTACATCCTCTTGAAATAAATAAGCTGTCTGTGAATATTATCCACAATTCAATCTATAGGTGTGCCTATAAGCCACCCTTTCAGTGGCTATTCTTAAACCCTGAAGATGCACAGTTCAAACCAGTCTAGCAAAAGCAACCTCACCCACCTTTGTCCTACTTATTTTAAAATACAACAATTTACCCACCTCTGTCAAAAACCCATTTCTCTTTTAATCTTTCTAAAGCACACTACAGAGGTATGGAAACCACAATAAACTATCAACAAAGACGATCGCAATGTGTTAGGGGTAGGCAACCTTGCTTCTTCTATGACTCGTGGACTTCAACTCCCAGAATTCCTGAGCCAGCATGGCTCAGCTTGGAAACCTCTCCCTTTCCCCTCAGCATGGCTGGCTCAGGAATTCTGGGAGTTGAAGTCCACGAGTCATAAAAGAGCCAAGGTTGCCCACCCCTGGTTTAGGCCTGTTGTAGGTGCCAGTATCCAGAATGTTCCATGGGTGCTGGGATGTCTGCAAGCTGCCGGTATCCAGAATGTTCCATGGGTGCTGGGATATCGGCAAGCTGCCGGTATCCAGAATGTTCCATGGGTGTTGGGATGTCTGCAACTATTTCTGCCTATGCTTAAAATTAAACCAGATAATTGCATTCCTTACCCATATTTATCTTTTGCTTTCCACCAGTGGATGTCATTTTTTTCCATTATGATATATTCTTGACCCTTTTCTAATCTCAAATCATGAAGCTCCGTGGGCTCAAAATCATACATGGCAATTGCCACTTCTTCTTCTTCTTCTTCTTCTTCCTCATCCTCTTCTTGAGGAATGGGGGGTGGGGGCCTTCTCTGAAACTTAAAAAGTTATTATCTGTCATTGACTGAAATATTCCAATAATTCTAATTACTAAGATAATTATTTGGGATGCTTCTATTTTCCAGCTCAGTGAAGCAGAATAAAATACTTTACACAAAATTATACTCTAGGAGGGCAATTAAAATGCACGCAAGCAACATAGACAAGTACATCTAAATTTGTCATTCTATTTGTTTGTTGAATGGACCATGAGCAAATTTAACAATCTGGACACAGATATATTTAAATTAAAAATGAGCTTGTGTTTATGATGAAGGAAACTGCTAAAAGGTAATACAGTATAAAAAAACTAAGGCTGCAAATTAATCCTGGATCCAGAATCCTCCATTTTACTACCAGATACAAGGTTCTGGAAAATATACAGGTGTTACTTGAACAGAAAACAAAAAGAAAAGCACACTAGCTTTAATTATTATTATCTCTCCAACACTAAGAAGGTTATTTATTTATTAATCCTTCCACGATGCCAACATGCCCCAAACATGTATGAAAAACAATCAAATCTCCTTTTGTCTAAAGAATCCCTGGGACAAAAATAATCCAAATATATTGCCTGGAATTTAGTAGCTCATATTCTCGGAAAGGCAGGCCTGAAAACTTCAGTCAGATTTGTTATTTATCTATTATATAGAGATATATAACATTATAAATAGATAGATATATAGACAGCTGTGGTGGCGCAGTGGTTAAAAGGCAGTATTGCAGGCTAATTCTGCTGACTGCCAACCACCAGCAGTTCGATCCTGACCGGCTCAAGGTTAACTCAGTCTTCCATCCTTCCGAGGTTGGTAAAATGAGGACCCAGATTGTTGGAGGCAAGAGGCTGACCCTGTAAACCACTTAGAGAGGGTTGCAAAACACTTGAAGTGGTATATAAGTCTAAGTGCTATTGCTATTACATACATATGCACACATGTTATTTGTATCAGCAATTTAAAAGTCACATGGCAAAAATAATAATAATAATAATAATAATAATAATTTAATTTATATACCGCCCTTCTCCCGTAGGACTCAGGGCGGTGCACAGCATATTAAAACAGATACAAACAAAATACATCAAAAAACAAAAAAACCCCATAAAACCAAATTAAAAGCCAAATATTGGAAGCTGTGTGTCAATTAAAATTTTCTTAAAATCATCCCTACC